CTGTCAGTAAAGTTACTGAAAGAACAAAGGGAACAGAGAAAATTACTCACTGCTCTTGACTAAAGAACTTGTGTAGCTTCAATAAGTAGTAGTCTATATATAATTTATAATTTATGCAGCCCAGACTGTTTGATAACTTTATTCAACTTCTGTATATGTCCTACCTGTTAGACAGTAAATTTTTATCCAGACATCAATGGCTTATTGATCATTGTAGGTGTTATCAATCATTTAGTTGTTATTGCTAATTTCAGAATTATCACTAATCTGTGTGTGCATTTGGTTTAGAACCAAACAAGTTAACTCATGAAACCATTTGTTTATTATATCGCAATTGCATATCACAACCGCAATATTGAACTCAATAATCGCAATATGACATTCTCCCCAAATCGTGCAGCCCTAGATAAAATTATAAATCTTTACCCGGACAAGTGACTTTTGTGCATGGACAAGAGAAACATAAATTTACTTGTCCGAAGGACAAGTGCCTCAAAAAGTTAATGTCAAGCCCTGCACCAAATGCTACGCAAAAAAATAAATGTTGAAGTATTTTCCGATTTTTGTATGTGACTTTTTGCCCCTTTATTAAATTTAAAATATTCACAAATTAATACGCAAAAAAAATTATTTTACTGGTTTTCTAACTAAGGCCAAACCAGGAAATTATATTTTTCCCGCAGTGCTGAATGAAAAGAGCCATAGCCTACTCTCTAACCATACAGAGAGGTGATTTAGGCTATAGGTGATCTGAAAAAATAACGAGGCTATACCTCCATCTCCGCTGTAAGGATGGGCCTTTAGAGAGAAATTCATATGGATTACATTATCAGACGGTATTTGCTTTCGATTCGAATTGGTTCTTTAAAAGTGGACATTTCAAGCTTTAGCCTACATAGGCTATATTTTGTTTCAGTTCATTTTTGAGACGCGATCACGGAGACCATGAAAGCTCGCCTGATTGTTTTATTTTATTTTACAAAAGCACAACGTTTTCTTGTTATTGTAAGTTTACACAAATAAAAGTAGTTGCGAATGATGTATTATTATTTTCTGTATGACCAGAAATTATAGAGTATTTTAAGTTGTTTCCACTGCTGATAGGAAAACGCAAGTGTTCGCGCCTCCGTGCCATGCAGTGCGCGCTCCACACTCACACAAACCCTTGGATAAGCGTCACAATCTTTTGTTTATTTGTAATAATCTTAGCCCTGTATTATTATTGTCTAACCTGTATTATGACTGACATTTGATAATTGGTAATTTCTTGAATTTTCTAAAAAACAACATTTACATCTTTAAAGTCATTTTTTGGGGGGGGGAGGAAAAAGCTCAGTATAATATAATAATAATTAAAAGAAAAGACTTCACATATAAAAAATAAACATAAAACAAAAACATTTCAAAAACTGTAAAATGTCAGGTTATATAAAAAATAAAACATTAATAAATTATTTTATGAGAAACATAATTACTGTCTTAAGTGAACTCATTTATAGTTATAACCGCAAATAATAATTGCCATTATTATTATTATTATTATTATTATTATCCTACATTTAGGCTAGAAGACGGTTTTATCCAAAAAAGGAACAAAGCATTCGTCAAATGTCAGTCATAATATAGGTTAGACAATAATAATACAGGGCTAAGATTATTACAAATAAACAAAAGATTGTGACGCTTATCCAAGGGTTTGTGCGAGTGTGGAGCGTGCACTGCATGGCACGGAGGCGCGAACACTTGCGTTTTCCTATCAGCAGTGGAAACAACTTAAAATACTCTATAATTTCTGGTCATACAGAAAATAATAATACATCATTCGCAACTACTTTTATTTGTGTAAACTTACAATAACAAGAAAACTAGCAATAATAAATTAGCAATAACAACTAAATGATTGATAACACCTACAATGATCAATAAGCCATTGATGTCTGGATAAAAATTTACTGTCTAACAGGTAGGACATATACAGAAGTTGAATAAAGTTATCAAACAGTCTGGGCTGCATAAATTATAAATTATATATAGACTACTACTTATTGAAGCTACACAAGTTCTTTAGTCAAGAGCAGTGAGTAATTTTCTCTGTTCCCTTTGTTCTTTCAGTAACTTTACTGACAGAACGCTTTATTGGTAGCTGGCCCTTTAAGAGCAGCCGCTGTGGACAGAGACGCGGATATCACACGCGCCTCATTCTCTCACGAGTCACAACTCTTTATGTCCATCATAAGACTGTTCTTATGTTATGAAGATACTCGACAAATGACATTTTGGCTTAATTGTGTGTGTTGTTGATGTTCGTTCAAGCGCGAAAGAGAACTTCTGGCGCGCGGTCTGTGCATGCGCATTATACTGGCGCGCGTCTTTCTGTGAGTCACATTCAGGACATTCACAGGCAGCGCGAAAAAATGTGTTCGTTTCAAATCGGTAAAATTAAATCTGTAAAATAGACGTAACGAGTGGCACATAACGTGAAGTAACATGGCATTTTATTTTGTGTGAAATTTAACTTGTCCGGTCGGACAACTAATTTTCTCTTCTAGGCTACTTGTCCTACAAAAAATCCACTTGTCCCGGACAAGCCTTAATGTCGAGCCCTGTGGTGTATACAATTCAAATTTTGGTGTTCAACTTTGCGTTTTAAAAATAGGGCCTACAACAACCATTTTTCGTTTTTCAATCACGGGTTAAAAAGGGAAAAACGAATGGACGCAAAAGTACACGGACCATGGGTAATTTTGAAGCTTGTTAATGATTTCACTGTGTTTAAACGAGAAACAAGCCAAAACAAATTTGGGCGTTTTTTTTGTGCATTCTCGCAGTTTTTGGCGAGGTTTTGTGATGGAAAACCTTGGCATCTGGCAACCCTGCTGGAGTGGGCGGGGACTCTAACCACCTTCCGTTTCAACTGAAATGCTTGCATACAACATACTGAAATGCTTGCATACAACATACTGAAATGATTTTCAGTTGTGTGAGTGAGAGCGTTTCAGTTATGTTTGTAAAAGCATTTCACTTGTATGTGTGTGAGCATTTCACTTGTGTGTGTGAGAGCATTTCATTTGTATGTGTGTGAGCATTTCAGTTGTGTGTGTGTGAGCATTTCAGTTGTGTGTGTGAGCGTAATATTTTCAGTTGTATGTATGAGAGCATTTCAGTTGTGTGTGTGTGAGCGTTTCAGTTGTGTGTGTGAGCGTAATATTTTCAGTTGTATGTATGAGAGCGTTTCAGTTGTGGTTGTCAAAGCATTTCACTTGTATGTGTGTGAGCATTTCATTATAGTATGTGAATGAATTTGGTTTTATATGTGTATGTGAGAGGAAAAGTACATGTATATGCAAGGTAATTCTGAATAATGTCCCTAGGGGCACCTCATACACAAAAGCCGTGTTTACATTTAAGTCTTCACGGTTACTTTTGTACATGTAAGCAGCTTTCTCTACCGTGAACGCGATTATAACGTTATTCCCTGATGCTGACGTACAGATCAAACGTTAATTTCTGAGGTAGTAGACATATTTCTCTCGGTTGTTCAGTTTCCTTAACCTTTTATCTCAGCGTTGTGCTGCAGAACTAGGGATTCCCTCAATACGTCATTATCCAGGATTCCCCTGCCTTCGGATTGCTTAACATCGCTTATATTAATGGACTAATACAGTGATATAAAAGACCAAACTCGCACCTTATTAGGAATTTAGGCTATACTATATAAGAACAGGCAAGCAGATAGATTCAGAATACGAACGTAACGTGCAAAGTTTCATGCCAAGCGTTTTCCAGTGAAATACTGGAATACAGTTGGCTTGACATTGAACGTTTGATATTTGCAAGTTAAGGGACCGTCTCTAAAATTACATACGACATGGGTATACAGGTTTCTAACTTCAATAGCATTTAAAGAGAATGTCTTAAAGTCATAATGCACACCTTTTAGATAGTTGATATTTAACAAAATAAACAGTTGAAGCGTGTAATTATTGCTATTTTTTGACTACCGCATGAGCTCATATTTATTTTAATATCAACAATCTTAACAAAAGTTCACCAGAAAAATTAAGCAAAATGATGCATTTTAATGACTTTTGCTGACAAATAATCCTTTACATAGATTACTGACATTGTAACAATGCTGGTTGAAAATCAGCGATTGTATCTTTTAAGATTGCTTATAGTTTTAGAGTTGATCTTATTGTTAATTCATCCATGCTTTTTTTTCCCCGTACTTGTACATCAAAATGTCATAACTTCTAGTTCCAGTGAAACAAACGACTTCTATCTGGTAACATATGCAGGACTTCTCCAATAATTTAACCGACTTTAACCCTGCCCATTTCCTACAATCGATTGTAAGCTTTCATCCAATCAAAAAACGAAGGACAGAACCAATCCCCACCCTACATTCTTTTTTCTTGATCATCCATTTATCGTACATGTACGTCACAATATGGACGAAAAGATCTACTCGTTTCATTGTGACGTAGAGAGATGCATGATTAACCAGAGAACCAGCAGCTGTGCATTGATAGTCAAATTAAAAACACACACGCTAGAGACAATACTGACAAATGTATTATTGTGGATTTACAGAGTATATTATAGATCACAGATTTGAGCTGTTTCTGAATGTAATACCAATCAAATTAATGTTCTCAAACTAGGAAGTCATTCCTTAAACAAAATAAAAAATTTATGTAATGTTTATTAGACAACTAAAATAGCTGAACGTAAACTGTTCCACCATATTCTTGGTGGTTTATCATGTGTAAACAAAGTAGTCATGTGCTCATCAGAAGACCACAATGTTTAATCCAAAAAAGAATCTACTGACTGTCATAGAAGGTCACAACACACACAAAAACTATTTATGCCACTGGGATTTTCCACAATTCCTTAACTGGGTCAATAAAAATAAAACATTATATGCATCTGATGCAGAAATGAACCCTGGAATCTGCGCTTGTGCTTAAATAGTCATTTTTAAAGATCTGCAGGAAATTGTTTAAACATATTTACAAAGAACACTGGTCTTGACCTCCTGAGGCACTCATTACCTGTTGCATGTACTGTAGCTGCTGTGCAGTGACCTGCTGTTGGTGGTGGATATTGTGCTGTTGCTGCTGCTGCTGTTGTTGATGATGTAGCTGTTGTAGTCGAAGGTCACCAGGCTGCAGTTGCTGTAACACTCTGTTCTGTTGACTGTTACTCGGCATCTGCGCCACCGACTGCTGCCCATTTCCAGGAGCTGAGACAGGCACACATACCGTATACAGTCAAAGCTTATTTCTCCAGAGGAAAAAAAAATAATACAGAACACAGACTATATTTAAGAAAACATGGATTATATCGTTCACCTTTCTGGCCGTTGCCAACCGTCTCTGAGGATACAGTCATTTTCACAGGAGTTACAGAGCTGGACAAGGGCAAAACATTAGTATTTGCAGCTTTGGGTCTTTGCCTGGGTGCGATTGATGTTTCTGTTGGTCCAACTGAATCTGTTATTCTAATGAAAAAGAAATGAAAACATGCTACTTAAATGGTTTGTTGAATTCAAATAATCTGAAAGCTCACACACAAAGCTCTAATGTTACCTGGCTTTTGTCAGGCTCTTCTTAGCAGCAATATCACTAGCAGTAAGTGGATCCGGCAATGAGGTGGGAAGGGGAGAGTTCTGTGTGGCAGAAAAAGAAAAACCTCTGAATTAGAATTCTGAATCATACTAGGGGAATAACAAAAATAACTATCAATTCAATTAACTTCCCATAATCTATGGCTACACTCACACTGGCCCTCATTTATCAAAAGTGCGTACACAAAATTTCCAGCGTACACTCAAAACCACGGTGACTTTGAGATTTATCAATATGGACGTTGGCGTACGGCACGCTCAAATCCTACGCCAGCTCAGGAGGTGGTGTACATGTACGCACGTTTTGAGTTAGTGCGGAAATGCGCAAAAAAACAATCCCTAACACCACAAAACGCACTGACAAACTAAAAGATATGATATATTATGACCCACAGTAAAAAAACAACAATTATAAACTTCCGTGTTTATTTTTGTGCAACATGGACTTCAATTTTTAATTTGTGTGACTTTACCAAGCATTTGATTTGTAATGTATTCCTTCAGTTGCGAGCCTGTGTGCTTTACCCTGACGGGTTATCCCCGGCAGGTGCGCACGGACTGGGTTCGGTAATGAAAGGCTTTCAATGACCAAAAGATAATTCAGACTGACAAAATAATAAAAATTACATTATTCTTCTTTTAAATAATAATAATAATAACAACAACATTCTTCTTCTAAATAACAATAAGCGTCATTAATAATAAAAATCATAAATGGTAATGGTAATAATAAGAACAATATTACAAATTGTCATGCAATTATTAATGTGAATGAATGGCCCACATCACATCATCATCATCACTATTGTACACCTACATGTGACGTGATTCGAAATTGAATGCTAATTCAAAAGACGTGCTGTAAAATAATGCATTGTGATAGGTCATTTCGGCTCCACGTCAGAGAAGTTTCTCTTCTTTGCCGTCTTCCGTGTGTCCATGGCGTAAAATGAGGGCGTGGGGGAAGCGGAGACTTGAATATATAGGGGCGTGTTATTCTAATGACGATCGTTTTCAGCCGCGGGATTTATCAAGGGCCGGTATTGCGTACACCTGGATTTCAAAGGTACGCACAGCTTCATAAATCAGCCGGTGAGAGGAGTGTAAGCATAATCTAACGCCAACATATACACCCGTTTCTACGCAAGAATGATAAATGAGGGCCACTGTGTGTCCATATTTGTGTATCCGATTAGAATCTGATCTAAATGATTGATTATCCTTACTGTGTATAGCAACTGTTCAGATCTGATTTGTGTGTTTGTCGTGGTGCTCTTTGTTTTTTTTGTTTTTTTACAATATCTGTATTGGTCTCTATGGCAATGATGTTGTGTAGGTGTGTCAATGCCAAAAAAAAAAAAAACTATACAGTTTGCAGTACAGACGTTGTCTTATGTCAACATGCAGTCTTGTAGGAGGCTGGAATGTGCAGCTTTATTCACTGCTGCCATCTCCACCGGTCTCAAAATTCAAAGAGTTGTGTAGACCAGGCTGACTAGCAATACTGTAATTTTCTGCTCAACCTCCACTTCGCAATACAACCTTGTTTCTGCAACAATGTTTACACCCGACATGTTTACATTTTATGTGGCATGAGAAAGCATTGAAAAGCCTCTGAAATATGAGCAGTCGGAAATGTGATTTGAATAGGATTTCAAAACACATGATTGTATGGGTTTAGAATGGATTTTTTAAAATTGTATTTCATGTAATTTTTCTGCAGTTCACACTAGCTAAATAGAAATGGATTACAGTCAGATATGCACAAAAATCGAATTTGGACTGACAGTCTGAACAAGGCTTATGTGTGAGTAACTTACAAAAAGATTTGGCACTGGACACTCCTTTCCAGCTAACCGAAAGGCAAAGTGAGAAACTTGATAGATGTCAGGTCTCTCTTCTTGATCAGGCTCTAACATGTATCCTGTGTGAATGAAAGAAAACGGCCGTTATCATTTATCAGATGAGGGTGCTTGTATTCAATTTCAATCTAAATGCACGTTCACGAACAGACCCAAAAAAATTTATTCAGTCATTCATATCAAATGGAAAACGGCACATATGAACACTTATAATACTTTCACCGTGCCTGGAAAATGATTACAGAATTGTCATTTTTGGATGAACTACCCCTTTATATAGAAATATATAAACAATCACAGACACTCAAAGATTCTAACCAGCCCAATCATATGCCAAGCAATGGGAACCTTTCTAAAAAAAAATATATATCTTCCTTTATGTTTCAAGAAAGTCATACAAGTTTTGAATGACCTAAGAGTGGGGAAATTACAGAATTGTAATTTTCAGGTGAATTATGTCAAGAGGAGCTGTGACAAGTGTGCAGTACCTCAATAATACCAGGGGGTGGAGCTATTGTTTAGCTTCATTTCAAAACTCCACCACAGCCTGTGTACGCACACCCACATTAAACCATCTTACACAAAATCATTTCAAATCTCTTGGGAATATTTGAAAGCTGCTTACTTATTAAACAGTGCAACTTAGAGGAGAATTTTGAACCGTCCGGAACAGCAAAGGTTCCGTCACATATGGCAACTTGACTCTCCCCAAATGGAAGTGTGAAGAAACACAGCTTGTACAACAAGCATCCAAGCGCCTGGGAAAGAGAGAGAAAACAAGACACTGTAATTCCACACAAAGACATTCAATACATCAGGTTTCACTGCTCTAATAATTAAATACTGCACTGTGACAACACTTATAATGGCTGACAGCTGCTGTTTCGTACAGGATGATTTTTTTCTATTTTCAGATGGAACGGAACAAATGGGCAGGAAGTATTGTCATACATTTCCTCTTCCTACCCGAGCAAGTTCTGACACGATGACCATGGACTACTACCATCTGCACTGGTGAAATGTATCACAATGTGAGCTTTCCACTGAAGGAGCTTCATGGGAACTGGCCCCTTCTTTTCTATTCAGTCCAGCATTTGTTTGGAAGGAAGAGCTGTGAAATGAGGCTAAGCTTTTTACCTTTTACAGCATGTCAAGTTAAAGAGGAAGTTTGCCTTCATGGAGGCCCTTCATTCCTGTCTTTACAACACTGGAAACTCTTTTCTTTACTGCTTTCCATCAGGCCCCTCAGCTCTAGTAAACATGTCTAAAATATGTCTGACTGCATCTTGTTACAGTATAACTTGAACAAAATCTACTCATTTCTACACCAGTGCACCTTGATACATGCCTAAATGTTTCATGACGCAAAAGAAAAAGCCAAAACAAAGCCAGGATTTCAAGGATAGCTGTAAAGCACACCCCTGAGAGCTGTTTCCTTTTATGGAGGAAAGCAGTTTCTCATCTGTGTTTGAGAATGACAGAGACAGAGAGAGACAGAGAGAGACAGAGAGAGACAGAGAGAGACAGAGACAGAGACAGAGACAGAGACAGAGAGAGAGAGAGAGAGAGAGAGAGAGAGAGAGAGAGAGAGAGAGAGAGAGAGAGAGAGAGAGAGAGAGAGAGAGAATGTGTGAGTCCCCAGTGCCTACCCAGATATCAGCCTTTGTGGTGATGGCTTTCCCTTGGTACAAGTTAATCATCTCTGGGGCACGGTATGACAGAGTCGTGTACCTAAGCAGAGAATAATGAAAACAATGGAAGGTTTAAAAAGCACTAACTTCCTGGCACCAGAACAAGTAACAAGAAATTACATCATCTAGACAAGCTTAAAGGATTAGGTCACCTCAAAATGAAAATTTCCTGACCCCAATGCCATCCAAGATGTTCATGTCTTTCTTCAGTGGAAAATAATTTTTTCCGAAAAAAAGTTTTTTTGCACGATCCCAGCTGAGGAATAGAGTCTTATCTAGCGAAACGATCTGTCATTTTCTAAAAATAAATTTAAAAAATGTATATGCTTTTTAACCACAATTGCTCGTCTTGTGCTGGTCTGCGAAACGCCAGGCATTATGTCATCACGTTGGAAAGGTCACGCTGGACATACCGCCCCATTGTTTACAAGCGTGGAGAAGGAGGATCGTTCAAATATTCAACATTCAATAAAATTTATGTCTTTCTTTGTGTCAGTTTATTGTTTAAAATGGTCCTTTCGTGTGTGTATCCTGGATGTCTAAAACAATGGGGCGGTACTTCCGCCTACGTCCAGCGTGACCTTTCCAACCTGATGACGTAATGCCTGGCGTCACAGACCGTTATCGTTTCGCTAGATAAGAGCCTATTCCTCAGCTGGGATCGTGATTATCAGGAAATTTTCATTTTGAGGTGAACTAATCCTTTAACACTTACACATTTTGTAAATTCAGAGGAAACACCCATATTCTGTTATTTTGTCCACTACAATATGCATAAGCGTGACACAATCTCTAGAACTACAATGCTCATCACACACACGTTTTTAAAGAACATTTTTTAAATTCATTTATAATGTTACAGATGATTTTTATTTCAAATCAATGCTGTTTTTTTTTCAACAAAAATGTTAAGCAACAACTGATTTCAATATTGATAATTAGAAATGTTTCTTGAGTGCCAAACCAAATCAAAAATGGCTGCTAAAAATTCAGCTTTGCTGTCACAGAAATAATTTACATTTTAAAATATATTAAAATTAACCGTTATTTTAAATTGTAATATTTCAAAATATTACTGTTTTTACTGTATTAAAAAAAAAAAAATTAATTGCAGCCTTGGTGAACATAAGAGACTTAAAAAGTTCTTACCAACCCAAAAATTTTGAACGGTAGCATACAATCGCTTGTACAATACCCCATTTCTGGACAGGGAAGGGATTCAATTTAATTTGTCATTAAATTAACTATAAAGTAATATCACTTAATTTACAGTAACTCTGATCTTATGGTGTAAATATAACAATTAACATTACTTTAATAGATACTAGTTTAGCAGTTAGATGAAAAGTAATCAATAATTACAACCGCCAACACTGGACACTGATAACATGAAACTGCATAGTAGTAAATTAATATACAGGCGAGGGTTAATCAAACAAAATATATGACTGCAGAATGAAGTTGTCCAGAGAGCTGTGTAATATGAATAATAACAGTAGTTATAATAATAATAATAACAATAATAATAAGTCCTCAAAGCTTGATGTTTTACCAAATTCAGTGCAAGTAAAAAAAACACATACCAAACTAAAAATTCTGCAATGCTCAAAAAAAGAAAGGAAAGTACTAGTTGTAAATCCCACTGTAATTCAGAACTCTCCACTGTACTGTAAAAAGTCTTACTTCTTGATCTCATCCTCCACAGCAGCTATACCATCTTTATGTGGAAGCAAAACTTTGTGTGTGGCACTTCCAAAATCACACAAGACGTAGTTTCCCTGGTCATTCAAGAGGAGGTTTTCTACCTGTGAACACACATTTGTTAGTCATCTTTGTTAATAGGTCCAACTACTGTAAATTCCAACAGTCAAGAGACAAAGGCAGGAGAGGAAGAAGGACATTTAGGCCATGTCCAATGAAGTCTTATACACAAGTTTTTGAGCCGTTTCCCGGGTGTCGCCATAACTCTACACAAATGCACTTCATTTCCGCCGGAAGTGGTTTGCGCAGCGTCTGCCGATGTAAACACAGCGATTTCGATGCTAGCTTGGGAACACGGTTCTACTACTTTGACTGGAGATGGCGTTACTCTCCCCTACCCGAAATCAGTGCAGAACTGGGAGGATAACATGACGACGTGGCCCAGCATAACGTACAGCAAGATTTGCTCCTACTTCGTGGAATCCATGGCAATAGGTGGAAAAGCAATGGACAATCTGAAAGCCTCCGAGGCATATCAATATCTGCACAGCAACAAAGTCGGTTGTGTCATGTCATACAAACAGGATCGTTTTGTTTATCTGAAAGCAAATGTAGAGCCTAGCCAGTGTTTGAACAATGCGTGGCATAATGCTTGGGTGCTGGTAACTGAAGCTGAAGAAGTCAAAATGTACGTGTGTTGCTGGACCAGGGAGATCTTGTTCCCACTCAGCTGCGATCCTGTGGAAGGTAACTAGATTATTTGACCATTGTAGCCTATGTCTTTTTAATTGTTGGTATCCGAACTACATCATAGGCTACTTGGCTAGAGTGCAAAGTGTGTGTGTGCCATGATGATAATAATAATAATGCATTTTCTTCATAAAGTGCATTTCTGCAAGCCCAATGTACTGTACCGTAAAACTTCAAACAATAGCCGAGTCCCAAATAGACGCCTGTCTCTTTTACACGCCTGGTGTGGCTACAGTTTTGGGTAAATTAAGGCCGGGTCTGTTTTTTAGTTTCGGGTTGTATTTAACGTTATTCTTCTAAAACCGTCAGATCATCATGTTTTTGGCGACCGCCAAAGCACATTTTTGTCCCGCAAAAGCCTTTTTTGATTGGTGAGTGATGTAGAAAATAATGACTGCAGCGCTTGACAGGGCGCATAACGAGCAGAGAGAGAGCCCCGGCCGCACGCGCGCACTCGTGTCTTCAAACAACACGAGCGAATCAGTGCTTTGCGGCACAACGGAGCTAGCTAGCAAAACAAACCCAGCCTGCCAGAACGGAAGTGGATTGCATCGACGGGAGGAGGTTAGGATGTAGAGCGGAAACGGCTCAAAAACTGGTGTATATAGTGTTAATATTGGTACTGATGTTTTTTAAGCACAATAACATTTCTCAGCATATTCTGCATACCAATATTCAACACATCAATGACTCTTTGTCAGCTTTTAAAGGAGCAATCTTTGATTAAACAGCTCTAATCATGTTGCTACTAACACCACCCAAATGTTCAAATTTAATCAAGACAGTGTTAAAATACACAAAAAGAAGTAGTAAGGAGGTGCAACTACTTCTTTTGGAACATTTTGAGAACGTACTCAGTGAACATAAATGCTTCTTGGAGTGGACAATCATGAGATCCTGCCTTATTTTTTTTGCAGTATAACCGTGTAGAAAAACAAATACATCCCCCGGTTTTAAAACAAGGCTTAAGCCTAGTTCCAGACTAAAATGCATTATTGAGCTGTCTTAACTGAAAGCAACTTGCACTGACATATCTTAAAATGTTTTTTCTCAAGATGCACACCAGTAATGTTGTTTTCTAAGGCACGTTCACAAAAGCTACTAATGCCTAATCCTGGCTTAATCTAAGCCCTGTCTGTGAAACCAGGCCTTAATGAACAAAAACAATATCCTAAGTTTCTCATACAAATCATATGTCTTGAATGAACACTTGAATGGACTATTCTTATAGTACTTTAATGTCTTTCTTTTTTGGAGCTTGACCAGCAGTGGTCCTCATCCCCTTATTTTACATGACAAACGAGTAAACAAACGCATTTCTTTCGCTTCAGTGTTCAATAATTTCCCAATTATTTTAGACTGATTGGTTTTGACTGGTGGGAAAAAGTGTTCGTTTGAATGGCACCATTGGCCTGTTCCCACACTTTTCTGCCAAAAGGGCGGACTTGTTTCTTTCAGGCACTGCTGTTTTTCACAGACACAGTATAGTCTTTGCCTGGGTTTAACTAATGCTTGCCACTAATAATGTTTGTGAGCAGAGTAATTGGTTTGGAAGATCATGTCTGGTATCACTTTGTTGAACTGGTATGGTCAGGACATGGTTCCCTAAACTGATAAGGAGTGTCCTAAATGTACCCTTTTTAGCTAGTCAAACACAGCCAGACAAAAGAGAATCAGTGATCAGCCAGAGTGCCTTATACTTGCTATTCAAGATTTATGAAATCACATAGATGAAAGTGCAGACACGTCAGTGCTTGTGTCTACAGCTTTACACCTGCAGTGAACTTATTTAAATAGCTGCGAATGAACCGTATGCAAATCATTTATATCCATCTGGAATTGCTTAGAAATATCCTGTAGTTGTTTTACTAAAGCAGTTTCTGTGCTGTACCTTCAGGTCTCTGTGGATGATTGGAGTTTTACACTGGTGGAGTCTGGCAACAGCTTCACAGGCATCACAGAATATGTTGAGCACCTCCTCTTCAGTGAATCCTACGCTCAGCCGTTGGTTCATCTGCTTCACCACCTGACCAGCTAGATGGCACACATTAATTCAGTCAACAAAGTAGGGGGGGTTAAGGAAAACCAAGGCCTTGATATAATCCATTAAATCCAGATTTGTTCAGTGTTATTTTAGAATTATTTATATACTATTAGAGTATTTATTAAAAAAAGATTAATTTTTATAATTTTCATTTTAGAGTAATTTTGTTATGTGATTTTGTCATTTTAGTTTAGTTTTTTTTAGTTTAAGTTTCCCATTAACGTTTTATTTCAATCAACATTTTTGTTTTTGTCAACTATAGCAACAATGGATTTGTTGTCCAACTTCAGTTGCCTGCAGAAACCAGTTATAATCTTCTAGATTAGAACATCAATTTGGGAACCAAGAACTGGCTCTTATTCAAATTTCAGGACGTTCAGTTCTGTTAACAGTTCTCTAAAACAGCTGCCTCTAAAACAAGTTTAAATTTGTTTACCTTTTCTGATTTTTACATCCTATTTATGTATTTATTTGTTCATATTTACAGTTGCACTCTTCAAGTTATTCCCTTTGTAAAGGTATTTCACTTTAAGATTATAATGAGGGATGTACTGTGATGCAAGTATGAACTTGTATTTCAGGAAATTTAAATCACACAACGACACAGAGATAACTTTAGATTGCATACCCTAATGTTTAGACCATAGTTTTGTTTGCATCAAAGCTGTATTACCCTTGCAATACTCCATCAGAATCAGAACCTCCCATACACTGTCTCCCACTGCATTGGTGGTTGAGTCCAGATATCGCACAATGTTCTTGTGGCCCGACAACTCTTTCTGTGGGGACATAAGAAAAAATGATTTATATATGTGATGTACTGATGTGTCCTCATCCAAAAACATATCGTGGCTTGGCTCACCATGATTGTGATCTCCCGCTTGAAGATGTTCAGGTCGTGGATATTGTTCACGTACATCCTTTTCAGGGCACATCTTACTCCACTGTGCGTGCGGGCCAAAAACACCATGGAAAAACCTCCTGGATATACGAACACACATATACAAGATTAGTTCAGATGTTTATCTGGTCAGCAATCTCAACACATCTTAATGAGCAGTTTGACCAGTAATAGCAGTTCAATACATTACATAAAAGAAGTTTCCCAACAAAGGAATTCAAAGAGGAATTTCAGGGGAATTAGATACAAATGTAGACTTTTTCATAAATTATCAAAATATAATACGTTACGCTGATAAAAAATTATTTAAAAAAAGTTACAACATTAGCCTACTTCATTAATCTCGAGGGAAACAATGTACTGCATGAAAATTGTTAAATAATGTTGTGCGATACAGCAAAATTGTCCTATTGTCAGCGTGTGAGATCGCCAATACACTGTTTTCATCAGGGGTGGGGGGCATTTTTTGCTAGTTTATTTGCCAATTAATTTACTCATTTATTTAATTATTTCCTTTTATCATCACAGGAAATGATGCACAAAATATGTTAATCGTTGTCCATTTTGCAAGCAAAGATGGAGTTGCTGATAAAGAAAAATGGTATGTCGCAATGGTATGCAGTATTTTGTGTAAAACTTGTCTTTGAAAGTCTGTGTTTGAAATGGAAAAAGCTGCTCTTAATTTTCATTGATGACTGTTTGGACCTATTGAAGACTTATTATATTTTAATTATTGAAAATGTTTTAAAAACCTTTAGGTCTACAATTAATTATATGAGTAAGCTAATCGATCTTTTATTCTCCTAGCAGAGTGTCAGTTATGCGGTGATGCAAATGAATTGTAATATTAATTAAATAATAATCGTAGCCAAATAATAATCAGAAAAATAATTTAATACATTAATTGGAAATGCCAAATCCTCTTGATATTGCTGATAGCTAATGCGTTTGACGATATCTCTGGCTGTCGTCAATACACAATATCATCGTCTATTGGCACAACCCTATTGTTTATAAATTTAATTAAAATAAAACAAAACAATAAAATGCTGAAATGCTTTTGGAATGTCTAATATCACTGGCAGCAACTACACTGCCATTTAAACAGAGACAGTTGTGGGTAGCACTGTGCACCAGAAATGAGTCTCGGAACTGAACAATTTAAAACCCATTACAACAGCCCACGTCTAATTTTTGAAGAACATGGAAGACATCTTTTGTAAGAGAGTTCTTTCATTCTGCTTTTTCTCTCATCTAAAACTGGAAGACGTATGCTCCCCCTGCTGAATGAGTGGACAGAAGGACAGAAAAGGCTTAACTTTATATCAACCCAAGATGAGTTCAGGGATCATTGTGACCTTCTGTGAGTCTGGCTCATATTAAACGCAGGTGTGAGACAGAGAGCTCAATATGTCCTCCCAGTGCTAGTCCTCTGATATTGCTTAGTTGCTCAATACATAAAATTAATTTTCAGGATGAATTTATAATGGAGTGAGGCAGTCTTAAGCCAAGTTAGGGATGGGCTCACTGTTGGCAGTCGCTTGTGAACAAAGGGAGAAAGAACCTTATAAGGTTGGTTGACCTGAAATTGAAATTCTGACATGTTTATTCAACCTCATATTGTTTCACACTGGCTTTTTTTGTGGAACAAATAAGATGACAGTGCTTTTTTCCATAACACGGCTGTCAAGCCTCAAAAATGTAAAAGGCACCTTACAATTTCTATAAAAGTAGATCATACAACTTGTGTGGTAAATTCCAACTCTTCTGAAGCCAAACATTATCTTTGCATAGGGGAAATACAATCAAGATCCAGTAAAGGTCATGGAGACACTAAAAACATGGAAGTAAACTATAAAAAGCAATGAGGGTTAATAAACTGATTACATATGGGACACAACAACAGCAGCTTGAATTTAAATGGTGAGAGTGAATTTAAAATGTAAAAATGCTTCATTAAAAATAATGGCAATAAAAAAAAATAAAATAAAAAAAAAACCCACCATTTTAATATCTAGCCACCTTGCTTAAGCCTCTGTGATTCAGTGAAACTCAATGAATGCGAGTACTGACCGCCTACACAGTGGTGAGGGGCTCTGAACCAACATGCAGCAAAGAGGGGCGCCATGCCTCCGCAACACTTCTCCCATCAGTTCCAGGGTGAATGAATCCTGGCAACGTATGACTGGTGAGCATTTTCTCATTAACAGCATGCTGAGTCACGGAGCGGTACGCAGAAAGAGAGTGCCCTGGCACAAAGGAGGACCCACAATGCCGCACTTGTTGCCTAACAAACTCGTGCTTGTTTAGCCACCCTGAATTGAAAATGTATTTGTATGGAGAACCACTAATAAGGACCTTGAAAATGGAAAGAAAACCAGAAAATACAAAATAATTAAAGTTGACATGAAAATGAAAATCATTACACATCTTGAATATCTTATTGTGAAATATTCATCATGCATACATTTTTTGACCTAGTAATTTTTTTACGTCATACCTTGATCTTCTGGTAAAAAGACAGACTTCTATCTAGTGACATGCTGGACTTCAATTATTTAGTCTGCTTAAACCTCATTGCAGTACACGAGATCCAGGGGGCGGAGTTGGATCCAGATCTAAGGGGTGGAGATGGGTAGGGTTAGGGGTGGGGTTAGGGATCAGGGGGTGGAGATGGGTAGGATTAGGGGTGGGGTTAGGGATCAGGGGGTGGAGATGGGTAGGATTAGGGGTGGGGTTAGGGATAAGGGGGTGGAGATGGGTAGGATTAGGGGTTGGGTTAGGGATCAGGGGGTGGAGATGGGTAGGATTAGGGGTGGGGTTAGGGATCAGGGGGTGGAGATTGGTAGGATTAGGGGTTGGGTTAGGGATCAGGGGGCGGAGATGGGTAGGTTTAGGTATAATGTAAGGTGGGAGGAGTTGGATCTGGATCCAACTCCTCCCCCTGGATTTCATGTTCTGCAGTGAGGACCATCTCTAAACCCCACCTCTTTCTTGCAATCACCCTCAAGCTCGCCTTCATATACGCCTCCATTTAAGCAACAACTGATCGATAGAACCAAGCCTCCGCCCTACATTTTTTTCTTTTTCAATAATTCGTTTAACTCGGATATAACAAATGACCTTAAAGCAGCACTAGGTTACTTTTCAACCTTCATAATATATTTCCAAGTCTCTTGTGATGGTACATCGACTTACAATAGGTTGAATGACACGTCTGCCATAGCCTGACGGGGTCTGTAGCGTTTTTAATCGTACTTTTAAACTTCAGGTTTCGGGTAGTAACCGGCGAACAAAGAGAACTACAAAATTCGACTGCTTTACGGCATATACGTCACTTCCACCACCACTTCCTTAAAATCGGACGTGCGAGCCAAATGTTATAGTCATGGCCGAAGCAGCACAGATAAACAAGAAAGCAAAGGTTTTATCGGAGCAAAGCAAAAAGAGAAAAAGAGAAAATGATCGCGTTAAAGGCAGAACGAGGATCAACATTGGGCCAGCCTTTTCTCGCTGGCGTGAGCTGAAGGAGGAGGAGGGGTGCCCGACCGATGCGGACTTGGCAAAAAAAAAAAAAAAAATCAAATGAAAGCCTGTGTCTAAACGGCGTGCACAAGTTTGGTAGGGGCTACATTCTTGCAAGTAAATATATAAGATGTACAAAATCATATTTTAGGATACCTAACATGTCTGTGATATTTGTTTATTTGTCTTGCCTCAAGCTATAATGCAAATCGATTTGTAAAATTAGCAGATTCATTTATGGTAGCTTGATATTATAATAATGACGATATATGGTTATTATCAACCACTCAAACATTGCATTGAAGTATCATATAGATTCAGTAAAACGGTCACCAATAGACTAGGCTACTATAATGACGCTGGCTTGTAAACGTGATCATCGCGATCATTTGTCGTTAGAAAAAAAATAAAACCCATGAAATTATATTCATATGACATGCTGAAATATATGCCACTGTACCTGGGATGAAGACATTTCACACGCGACGCAAGCAGAACACCTGCATGTGACCTCCTCCTACAGTGTTCAGGGCTATCATGGTTGTCAACAATTGCACGTGCATGTAGAATGACAGAGTTTACGACAGTAGTAGAGGTCTAGAGGACAATACTGTTTCCCAACTGTAGGGGGACCCCACCCCGAGAGCAAAAGTTCCCTGGTGTTACTTTAAGATATTTACGTTACATTGCTACTTAAACCATGTTGCACAGGTACAACAGTGATTTTTACAGTTTACTGTATGATTACTGGATAAGGACTTTTAAAATCATTCTTTTTAAATCAAAGCAACTGCATTCACAAAGAGCAATATCTCCTTGACAAAATATTTTAGAGCTGAGCATAATTGGAACGACGATATATATATATTTTTGAAGATTATTAATTTCCCTGACTTGTCACACCTGTAAAAAAAAAAAAAAAAAAAAAAAAAAAAATTTTTTTAAACCATCCAGGTTAGTCCATGACCTTAGAACTGGGCCTGTCGCAAATTGCAATAATCAATATAATCGCACAATATATACATGACCTCAATAATATTTTGTGATGCAATATATCGCCCATTATGTTTACATGATAATGAATATCACCAACATTTTACTCAATTGTGCTGTCATCTTGTTTGTTTTCCGTGACGGAGGAGAAAGTGGTTCTCGGGCAGTTCCTTCATACACAAGAGCGGTCATCGACAGGTAAAAAAAGGCGCCATTTGAGGCGTTATAGTGTTTTTTTACTGACTGTGACAACTACAGACAGTTTGGAAGAATAAGTCCAAATGGACTAGATTTCAAAGCCGCGATGCCCTGTTCCGGTACACATATAAAATGTCACAACGTAGAATGGCGAGTGGTAAGGCCGTTTCACAAGGGACGCAGCAGTTGAGAGTGTCTAGTTCATTTTCACAGAGAATGCGTTTTTTGCACACTGTTTTTCTATTGTTTTTCTATGTAAACAGACATGTTTGACAGTTGCGCTTTTTTTGCTGCATCTCATAACACGTGGCGCTCAAGTTAAAAGAAGTTCAACTTTTAAAAACATGCCTCTAGAAAAATAGTT